GACCCCCGCCCGCCGCTCGCCATGGACGCCGGTGTGACTGAAAGCGGACTCAACGTGACTCTCACCATTCGGCTGCTGATGCACGGAAAGGAAGTAGGCAGCATCATCGGGAAGAAAGGGGAGTCGGTGAAGAGGATCCGCGAGGAGAGCGGCGCGCGGATCAACATCTCGGAGGGGAACTGCCCGGAGAGAATCATCACGCTGACTGGGCCCACCAATGCCATCTTTAAGGCCTTCGCCATGATCATCGACAAGCTGGAGGAAGATATCAACAGCTCCATGACCAACAGCACGGCGGCCAGCAGGCCCCCGGTCACCCTCCGGCTGGTGGTGCCCGCCACCCAGTGCGGCTCTCTGATCGGCAAGGGCGGCTGCAAGATCAAGGAGATCCGCGAGAGCACGGGGGCCCAGGTCCAGGTGGCGGGGGATATGCTGCCCAACTCGACCGAGCGGGCCATCACTATCGCCGGCGTGCCGCAGTCGGTGACCGAGTGTGTCAAGCAGATCTGCCTGGTCATGCTGGAGACGCTCTCCCAGTCTCCGCAAGGGAGAGTCATGACCATCCCGTACCAGCCCATGCCGGCCAGCTCGCCGGTCATCTGCGCGGGCGGCCAAGATCGCTGCAGCGACGCGGCGGGCTACCCCCACGCCACCCACGACCTGGAGGGACCACCTCTAGACGCCTACTCGATTCAAGGACAACACACCATTTCTCCGCTCGATCTGGCCAAGCTGAACCAGGTGGCAAGACAACAGTCTCACTTTGCCATGATGCACGGCGGGACGGGATTCGCCGGAATTGACTCCAGCTCTCCAGAGGTGAAAGGCTATTGGGCAAGTTTGGATGCATCTACTCAAACCACCCATGAACTCACCATTCCAAATAACTTAATCGGCTGTATAATCGGGCGCCAAGGCGCCAACATCAATGAGATCCGCCAGATGTCCGGGGCCCAGATCAAAATTGCCAACCCAGTGGAAGGCTCTTCTGGAAGGCAGGTCACTATCACCGGCTCGGCTGCCAGTATCAGCCTGGCCCAGTATCTCATCAATGCCAGGCTTTCCTCTGAGAAGGGCATGGGGTGCAGCTAGAACAGTGTAGGTTCGCTCGTAACCCCCTTCTGCTGTTTTCCCATGATCCAACTGTGTAATTTCTGGTCAGTGATTCCAGGTTTTAAATAATTTGTAAGTGTTCAGTTTCTACACTTTATCATCTGCTAAGAATTTAAAAAGAAAATCACATTCTCTGTTCAGCTGTTATTGCTGGGATCCATATTTAGTTTTATAAGCTTTTCCCTGTTTTTAGTTTTGTTTGGGTTTTTTGGCTCATGGATTTTATTTCTGTTTGTCGATAAGCAATGTAAGAGTGGAATGTTAATAAATTTCAGTTTAGTTCTGTAATGTCAAGAATTTAAGAATTAAAGAAAGTGGATTGGTTAAAAAATGCTTCGTATTTGAAAAAGCTGGGAATTACTTATCTTAAACTCTCCCGTTGGAGCTCTTCTTTTCCCCTTCCCTTCCCCTTTTTTAAGTATGGGGTTCGTGGAGGCCGGAGGGATAAGGGTGGGCCGCGCTTGTTATCCTTTGCAATCTTTCCTTGCCTTATCGGTAAGATTCCGTTCCCTCTGCCCCAACAAAGGAATGGCAGGTTGGGCCTGCTTTGGGATGTTTTTAGACGTGGTCTCTTCCTGGGAGTGACATGTCTCCAACTTAAGTTTCAGAGAGAGGCCTCTGCCTGTTTCTCTGGTAGAAAATACGGGGTTTTCTCAGGTGGAAAAACTGCCCATTCAGTAGGACAGGATGAATGGAGAGCACCCTGTCGTCTAGCCAGTGGTTCCCCTACCCCCATCCACAGTCGAAACTTGGCCAGAACAATAAAATGTTCTGGGGAAGGGTTGTGGGGGGTGGGCAGGGCCTAGGAGGAATGGGGAAACACAGGGTGGGAAGGAGGGCCACAGCTGCAGAGGGATTGGAGGATCTTGGGTCACGTCTGGGATGGCACCAGCAGAAGGACCACGTGGGGAGCATGCACCTGTGGCAAGGAGCCTGTCAGAATGTTACACCTGTCAAGTAAGGGGCCGAGAAACAAAAGGGTATTTTTCTGATTTTCCTCAGCTGTGTACAGTGTTTAGCTAATTATCGAAGGAAATAATCCTAAGTGGTACAGTCCTCCCAGGAATGTAGACCAACCAGGGGTGTTAAAATGCAGCTTCCTGAGTCCCACTGCACAGAAAACTGCATCTTTAACACCCACTAAAAAGATCTCTGGGAGTTTATCTTCAAATTGAGATCAGCTGTGGCAAAGGCCTAGTAACCAAGACCCTATCGGCTGAGTCTAGGAAGGACCCCAGAGCAAAAGAAAAAGTGTGTACTAGACACAACAGTAAGACAATTGAGGTGCCTAAGTGGCCAGTTCAAAACCAGGCAGAGGAACCCCTATGGGAGGTCATCCACCGTGGCATGGGCCTGGGGGGGTCCCTGCAGATGAAACTTCCATGCACTGCTTTGGGGCATGCTGAAGGAGTCCAGGTTATAGAATAGACTAGGCTCTGCCACTTGTGGCCTGGAGCAAAGCACTGAAAGTTGAAGGTGTTAGAAGAACACACTCCCTGAGCTGGGGACAAAAAAAACAGTTTTAGAACACAATAAACTAGATGGCAGATGGCCTATTTCTGGGAGTAGGGATTGCCTAGCATACATGGGCAGAGAAAACCTGATTAAAAGATAAGAACAAAACAATGTATACTAGCCAGGTGGGTGTATAACTTTAATCCCAGGAGGCAGAGGCAAGCAGAACTTGAGTTTGGGTTCCTTACATAGTTCCAGGCCAGCCAGGCCAGCTACATAGAGGCCCTGTGTCAGGAAAAGGGAAAAGGGAAAAAAGAAAAAAATAAACGCCAGGTGGTGGTGGCACACTCGTTTAACTTCAGTACGCTGAAGTTTGAGGCTAGCCTGATCTACACAGTGAGTTCCAGGACAGCCAGGGCTACACAGAAACCATGTCTTGAAAAGCCAGAAAAGGGCAAAAATGTGTACTAAGCTTGGCTGAGTGACCAGGAGGGGCATGGGGCCGATGAGGACCTAGTACAGTCTTCTGGAAACTGAGCCCTAATCAGGGCAAGTGAACAACAAACTTTAGAGTCTTTAGATAAGCCAGTAGCGTCCCTGGAAGAGGGAAATGGTTCAGATATACCATGGGAAGGCAGTTGAACTTTCTCAGCCCTCCTCAACATGCCTAGTGGTTTTAAAATAACCTGGGCAGCAAAGCATAGGATGGCTCCCACCTTGGAGAAATGAAAGGCAGGAACCGCCACTGGGAAGTCGTCTACGGAAGGAGGTTCTAATAGAGGCTGAGATGTATCAAGCAGAATACACACTGGAGAGGCTGGAGACAGACACAAGGAGAACAGTGTATCCCATCAACTAGAAATGAAAAGTCACATCTACATGCCAGCAGGTAAGTATGGACCAAAAGCTGAGTGGTGGGAGTGTGTCATTTTGATGATGAGGGACTTGAGTGCTGGTGTCTCCCTGCACCTGTCAGTCACTGCCTGACCCAGCAAGCCTTAAAAGTAGTTTAGTAGTAGAGGAATTGTCTGGTATGCACGAGGCCCTGTGTTCAGTCCCTAGCACCATACAGATAAATATGGTGAGAGAAATAGTTAAAGCAGGATAGTTTGCTAGACAGTGCCCTTGAGAAAAGTCAAAGTTTCTAGGCTGATGGACAGTAAAACTGAAGAGAGAGTTAAAAAACAAAAAACAAAAAAATGGGATGTGATGGTATAGGCCAGCCCAGCCCTCAGGAAGCTCATAAGTTTGAAGACCAATCTACATACTGAGACCCCCATCTCAAAAAAAAAAAAAAAAAAAAAAAAAAAAAAAGGTGCAGTAGTGGTTTAGCTTT